TGGACAGTGTCATCAAAGCTACCAACATGAATCTGACCAAACTCCAGAAGGCAGTGGAAGACAGGAGGCCCTGGCGTGCTCTGGTCCACGGGGTCACAAAGCATCGGACATGACTTAATGACTAAACAACAACACAAAACAAAAGCATGGAATTGGCCTTCTTCACTGCCACCACACACCGTGTTGAAATTTTCATTGAGCTGTCCACCAGCACACCAAGATCTCTTTGCTGATCCACCATAGACAGTTCAGAACCCATTAGCTGATAAAGTTTTGAGTCTCTTCTCTCTCTGTCCCTCTCTCTTAACTGTCAGTCAGTCAGACAGGTCCAGACTTCCCATAAGCAGAAGCCTGCATATGGGATCAATCCTCTTTCTAGAGGGAAGGGATGGTGGTTTTCACTGATTTGTCTTCGCCCATGACAACTCAGGTGGTTGAGGAACAAGGACCTTATGGAACAATGAAGGAATAGTACCAGGGCTACAGGGTGGAGAGAAAAGGGGCGGTGGGGGGGGGGAAGAGTTTCTCCTCCTCCTTTCTTAAGCAGGAAATTCTACTTGTTCTTTCTCTGAAAGGGAAACTCTGGTTTTTCACAGATCACAAAATGTTTTCTCACTTTAAGCTAGTTGAATCCAAGTCAATTAGACACATCTCCCAGATTGGTTCACAGCATGTTTATTAGAAGGGAAGTCCTACAGAGTTCAGTGAGACATAATTCCTTGTATGGTTCAGATTGTACTCTAAATATTTGTATTTAATATGTATAATTTTAAGCACAAATTTAAGTTTGGAATAAATGGAGTTGCGTCCAACTATAGGTTGAATCTAGTCATACTTAGAGGAGACACACTGGAACAGATCCATCTGTGGGAATTGTGCACAGTGAATCTAGTGCAACACACATTTAGAAGCCAGTTTAGCTTTTGAGACCCCAACAAATCAAATTACAATATTGCTATTCTAATGTACTACTATGTTGTCGTGGTGCTAGAGTGAAATCAAGCTGTCTCATACAATAAAACACAAAGTGGGAATTCTAATAAACAGCTTCACCCAAAGGTCAAAGTTAATAGGTTTTTACTCAGAAGAATAACACTGAGCAAAAAAGATGTTTTCAGCATTAGTTATCTGAAAAACTGCAGCCACAATATACCAGTTCAGCCATGCTATTTTAAGGGAAAGACGTAGGAGGCTCTCAAACCTTTCTTTGCCCTTGGTATAAAATATATCAGACTCTGGATGAAAACAAATGAAGGGAGTCTTTTTACTATGAATATCAAATTGAACATGCAGCTCTTTTGAGAAAAGTAGAAATGTCTCCCCAAAGGAGATAGGATGCATCGATTTTGTTATAACTCTGATGTGCAATTGGCGACTGTATTTATCCCGTATGCCTTACCTCTGTCGCTGAAGTCATCCACAAGAATGATTTCTGCTATCAAGCTATTGGGAGTCCTGTTGATAATGCTGTGTATGGTCCTCAAGAGTGAAGTCCAACCTTCATTGTGAAATGGGATAATTATACTAGTGTTCGGAAGCTTCTCCAAATATACTTTGTGCTTACAGCTGAGGATGGAAAAAGAAAGAAAGTGCAGTATAAGAATGACAGAGAAAAATAGGTGCTGCACCTCTCAGACACTTGTTCAGTTCAACTGCATCCCTTCCCAAACCCCCAAATAAACCTGGATAGCAAATAACCCAGTCATTCAGATGCCTTTTACTATGGTGACGTACCAGTGCCGTGTCATCTGTGCTGTATAGCAATATATTTCCTATCCTGAAAATCTGATAACCTGTTCATTTAAGATTGGCAGGTGGATTAGAAAAAGCTTTAAAAGCAACTGCCACCCAAACCCCTTATTTCAGAACATCCTGGTCCTTAGCTATCAGCAAAAAGAACAACAAAGGCAGGCTTCTGTGGACACTTCACTGACTACAACAGGGCTTTCGCCCAAGTATATGTGCCCAGAATCAGCTATAGTGCCACTGTATTCTCTGTTTTGTTAGATGTATTAATTTACCCTACCTTAGAAATATATTGACCCATGTAATTCCCACCTGCCATGGCTTTTGTTTGGTTTGTTGGTGGGGGAGATATGCATCCTATTCTGCCGTAAGGGAATGGGGCACATATTCACAGCTGCAAGGCTGATCTGGGCCCAGAAGTGGAAAATGCAGGAAATTCAGAAGAAAGAGGAGTTATTTTAAAGCAAAAAGCAAAGCGTGCTGCTTATATACCACCTCATAGTGCTTCAAGCACTTTCTGGGCTCTTTACAAGTTAATTATGCAGGCTACACATTGCCCCTCCAGCAAGCTGGGTACTCATTTTACCTACCTTGGAAGGATAAAAGGCTGAGTCAACCTTGAGCCGGCTACCTGGGATTGAACCCCAGGTTGTGAGCACAGTTTTGGCTGCAGTACAGCGGTTTAACCACTGTGCTACGAGGCTCCTCGTAAAAATTATTACATATCGCAGAAATCAATAGTTTATCAGAGACACTACATGAGTATCCACGAATATATATTAAGGAAAGTTGGAAAATGTTTTACGATTGGGCCCAGAAACAGATATGAGTAGAGAATGTATTAGAGATTACTATATCCCAGTCATGAAGTCAAAAGCTTTTTAGGAATTGTATGAGAACAAATATCCCTGTCTATATGTTTTTGTTTTACTTTGCTATTAATCCCCTTTCCCCTTGTTGCATAGTTGTTTTGTGATAGTTGATGATGATGATGATGATGATGATGATGATGATGATGATGATGGAATTGGGCACATGTCTTTGCAAGGCAGACAGAAAATATAAAGCAAAAAGATTTAAAATAAAGTAAATGACCTGAGCAAGGGGTGGCAGCACTGGTGTTAACTAGTTTGCCACCACTTATCCCAAAAAGAAAGATTTTTAAAATGCTGGGGCCAAGTTACACAGCATAAAAGACTTCACATTGTCATGTATGAGCATAAAATCTATTGCAAAAAGTCTAGCTCTTACATGTATACCACTTATTTGGTGAAAGTGCTACCGGACACCAAAGTGTCCGAATTTTTTTCCTCGAACCTTGGATTTCAACTCTTTCTAGTTCACTTGAGCCAATTCTTTCTATTTTTATGACTGATGAACATAATTCTTTGACCGCTGCTGTTGCGGGCTTTCTATCTGCAATTCTGAAACTGTCCCCTTCTTCTTGCTTCCAATTTGTGTAATTTTCCTTCTCCCATTTTGCTTGTGCTGTTGTAGTTTGTGAATGCCATGAAAGGTTTCAGAATCAGAATCAGACACCAAGGTTCTTCTGCATGAAAGTAACCTGACTAAGCTAATATTAATTCTGTGTGCTTTTCAGGCTGTTACATGTAGACTGATGCCAGAGCCCTTTTTAGGTATTGAGAGAATGTATCCCTAGCTTTGCCCCCTTTTGCAATCATTTTCTCCATGTGATGATGGAGGAGTCCAAAAAGGAGAACATCCAACTTGAAATTTGGCTCTACACCTGAGCAAGGACCCTACAGAATCTGGGTTCTTGTTTGCATGTAGTGCCTTTGTGTGAATAGGAACCTGTCCCTTCCAGACCCCTGTATTACTGTGGAAAGAAAGCAATGGCAGAGGGGATGGAGTTAGGTGCTCCTCTCTGAGTGTGTTGGGGAAACTTGATTCCTTAATGTCAGGATAGAATTTCTCTGTGCACCAACCCTTAAATGTGATATTTAATAAACCAGTGGAGATGGAATTCTATGACTCTAGTGTACACAACTACATTGTATTGTCTGGCAAACCTTATTCAACATTACTGATCAAGAAGGGAGGATGTGTAATTTGTGTCAGGCATTGAAGTACATGATTCCAGAAGACAAAAAGTACAAGTCTTCTAAAAATATCCACTCGACTTTCTCTTTTAGTTTCATTTGTATTCAAAAGACTCGAGAGAGCTAATGCAACTCCAGCAATGCAACTAAATGCTCGGAATAATCAGCACCATAAAATGGAAAGTGTAACTGCAAATATGCCTCTGGAGAAAAAAGCTTGTATCAGCTGATAAGTGCAAGTGAACATCCAAATGTAAATGGAAAGGCATAAAGGTATTTCATGAACTTCTTAATGAGGCATCAACTACATTTGTATAATGCCAACTACACAATTACGCACTTTGTCATTTCATCATTGTACAGCATGCCATATAAAAACTTCACTCGTGAAACAACTCTGAAACAAAGTAACAAAGAGTGGATGTTCTTTATTTGCAGCAGACTGTGAAACTGATGGCATTCAAAACACTAATGTTAAATTAGGAATAGAATGCCTTGGGGATATACTTTTAGTGACCAGTTCTGTTCGTTCCTTATCTGTGCCCAAATGGCAGCCAAGGAGCAGCAGCATCCTAAGTGGGTTTCTTGTAGTTACGCAACCAAACAGAGATAAGACTTGAGCAAGCTGTACTTGGGGAAAGTCAAGCACCATGAATGTCAGAGAGAAGTGACTGATCAGATGGATTCTGGAATGGAGTGGCAAATTTGGAAGTGCAGGGGCTCATTATGGCAGTCCCTGTAGCTGTCCTTCAACCTAAGGAGAGTCTAAAATGGAGGCAGCTGGGCTGTTCTTTTTCAACAAATAAAGAGCAGATCTTTTGTGTAATCTTCAGCTGAAGGTGTTTACAGTCCCTGTCTATGTAGGAATGCTGCTGGTTTAGATTACCATTACCCTAGCTTGCTAAACTCAGGGACTAGAAAAATAGCTGCCGTTTTCAACTGCCTGCAAGAAGCCACTAGACTGTGTCTTGCAATCTTTGTTACATCTGTCTCTACATCAGCCTGTGTATCTATCACGGTCCGTTTACCTAATCTCAGGACCTGCAGATCCAGCAAGTCAAATACTAATAACAGAGGAATAATAAGGGCCATTTGGTAAGGAAGAGAAAAGAAAATATTATTAGCAAAGAATCTTGTGAAAAATTGTCCATTTTTGATCTTTCATCCCACAGAGCACAATACATCACTCAAAAGATGTCAAAAGAACTGGCAGCTCATACGTTTTATGAATTTAACATGACTTCTTTCTACAGAGGAGGAATTTGGGTTTATTCTATAATAATTAAGAAAACTATTCTGGGGCTCTAGATACGTATTTCTTTCTCATTTAAAGAAGCCTCATTGATTTTGGCAAGCCCCATACTTGTTAAGGAGATAAAAATGAAGAGGGTTTTAATTCTAGTGGTTGCTCTCTTTTTTTATCAACCTAACACAGCATTTCACAATCATATGCTGGTTGAGCCAGAGGACAGAAACACATGGACAGAGGATATCACATGCATCCCACCATTTCATTATACTAATAACATTTGCTATGCTGAACAGCAACAGTAGCTATTTGGGACAGAAAACGTATTTACTATAACCTGATCCCACTTTATCCTCCAAAACCCTCCAGGCAGTAGACATGATTCTCTTTAATTCTTTCCATAGCACAATATTATGAAGTAGGTTGGTCACAGTTCTGCGTGACTCCTTCCTTGTTCAACCCACCCCATTTCTGTTCTTCCATGTTAGCAAACCCAAAACTTTTTCAGTTACTCCTATATTTCCTTCCTAAATAACTGGGAAATCCATAATTTCTTTAGACTACAACTCCTAGCATCCCCCAGGCAGTATAATTATTGCTGTGCTTGTTGGGACATTCTGGAAGTTTATAGTCCAAAAGAGGAATCTTTGCAAATTCAGGGAAAAGTGTACATGGGATCTGCTAAATTTAGAATACAGGAATGTGATAAATATTTTTAACACACCAAGTTTCAGGCATAAGCCTCATATATACGATGATCCATAGGGTCCCTTCCAGCTCTATAGTTCTAAGATTAGACTGTTGGATAGGTCACTGCATCTTCTTGACAGGGATGATCCATAGGGTCCCATCTTAGAACTATAGAGCTGGAAGGGACCCTATGGATCATCCCTGTCAAGAAGGCGCAGTGACCTATCCAACAGTCTGCCTGCCTGCCTAGCTAGGTATCTGGATACAGAGTCAGAGGTTTGGAGTTCTGTTGCCCGCTGTGCCTTCTGCAAGTAGAGCTAGCCTATGCGGTCTTGGGCAAGCTGCACAATCTGAAGGTGCCCTCAGAAGAAGAGGATGATAAACAACTTCTGAGTATTCTCTATCTGGGAAAACCCTGAAAACAGTTGCCATACATCAGAAATGACTCGATAGCACATCTGAAAAGATTCAGAATTTCCAATGGATCTTTAAATTCTTTGCCTACACTCAAAAGGCAAGCAAACTAGATGTAATGTAAGATGCAGAAATAAGTGTTGCCATAAGTGCAAAATGGCTTGATGGCACATCAAATCAAATCCAATTTCTTGTCATTATAAGTATATACACAGTATACCTATACAACAAAATTCACACAGACACCCAGAGATCAGATCCACATGCACACACATAAAAAATCCCCAAACACTCCCTAGCCATTAAAAACCCCCCACCAAGAATGCAAACATCTACACTGCAGGCCAAGTAACCCTGTCCAACTATTCACTACTGGTGGTCTTTAAGCTCCTTATTAAGTGCAATTA